TACTTACAGTCTGTGAGTCAGAACAGCCGGCATTGTAGTCTACTCTCCCAGGATCAGGAAACAGTCCTCCATAAAATGTGCTGCACACATCTGAATATTTGGGTTGAAGTGTTCTGGAACAGTGTTGTAAATACAACTTAACCACTGATTTCTAGTCGTGTCCATTTTTGGAAGACCAAACAAAGTAGTTTCGCTTTCACAACGAAACAGCGTCACACACGACGGAGGGCTAGAGTGAGCAGAGGCGGCGGGCTTGAGAACGGCGCGGCCGGCAGATTCGACAAAGGAGGCTTGCTGCAACCACATGTGACGACCCCGGGCTGGACTCCGCTTCGTCCACGGTGAAAGCCGATCCAGCGATCCACAGCACGAAGTTGTTGTATTTCCTCAGCGACCAGCACGGATCAGCTCCAGCCATGACGAAGTGGATATCGTCCTCTTTTGGAAGACCAAACAAAGTAGTTTCGCTTTCACAACGAAACACACAATGCGTTCACAACATGACAGCGGCGGCAACAACAATACTACAGCGAGAATCAAAGTTAAGCCTTCTTTCTTTGCGTGAACATTTGGGCGGCGTTACGCAAATCTTCCCACATAGTGATGTAGATATGTGGGGGCGTGTTAGAACGAGCTTGTTTTAGGTAGGCGTGGTTGACTCTTAACTTTTATAAAGAATATCTCTTTGGATTTGAGTCTTTAGTCTTTGCAACTTTACAGATCATCTTACAGATGGCAACATGCGTGTGCGTCAAGTCTGAGGAGGAGGGGCCAGGTGAAAAAACCCCTCTCCAATATTTTGAATTTGGACTGCAATACCTAGTTCAACCACTCGGCGTCAATCCTACATACAGCACCTTCAAACAATGATGTAAAATGTAATTTGAAGTGAAACTTAGAATTTGACATTACAAAATGCACTTAAAAATCTAATTAAGTGTGTTAAGAAACATGAAAGAAAGTGTCTTTACACTTAAAGATAAATAGAACTTTTAAGATTTGAAGTAGACTACAATACACACTCAATACAATTAAGCACAGAAAATCTCAGCATTTGAGTGAAAACTGCATTTGATTTGATTAATTGTATCTAATGAAGTGAAATTAAGATATTTCAAAATGTGAAAAGCCTAAACAGTTTAGTTAGGCTTCTGTTCTTATTAACTCAGGCTCCTTTGTCTGTTACATATATTCTTTTATTAGACGTGTAAAAATGGCTTATACATACATCAGCTCTTCTTGACAACAGCACATTTGTATATACAAACCAAACACAACAGCCTCTCAGTTGCTACTTCCTTTCATATTTCTTCTTTCGTGTCATCTACACACATCTGGTTAAAATATGCTCCTGGCCTCCAGTAAAGTATCGGCTTCTCCAGGCCTGTGTGCTATTATCCTGCAGCCTGACATCATTTCCTGAGCATGAGCAGCGCGGCTCGCCGAGATCTGCTGAGTGGGTTCATTCTCTCGCATTGCTCAGCAAATATAGCAGCTGTTTGGTGAAAATATCGTAAAAAAAGACAAACATCTTGAATACTGTGTTTGGTTGCATTGTCACAGGATGGCTTGGATCCACTTTTCCACGAGCCGTTCTTGTCATCGACTACTTGAAATCAATTCAAATCTTGAAATGACTTGAAAAATCTTTTTGTGGTTGAATATTCAAGACAACATGGATACGCTCTCAATAAACTCAACAATACAACAATCTCATATAAGTATATATAAATGCACCTGTATTTTCTTCTTTTCTTTCAGTGCAGACGTTAAATGCTAGTTTTGTCTGCACGTCCAGTTCAGAGTTAAACAGGAAATGTTTGGAATTCCTGTTCGTCTCTGACACACACACACACACACACATCCTGGTATATTGCGTTGAGTTGGTCCGTCGTTGTGTTTGGTGTGTGCGTACCTGAAGCTTTAGTGATACTCGCCCAAAAGTAAGCGTGACACATTTTCGAACACCAAAAAGGTAATGCAGCACGCTGGAATGACTCGCACCAGGTTCGGGACCATGCCTTTGTAAAAGCCCTCGATCCCCTCATTGCTAGAGAGAGCCAAACACAAACATATATTGAGCTGATGTACAGTCAGATGAGTCACAGTATTCCTGGCAGTGCCATTATATTTCCTCTTGAAACTATATGAAGTGCTATTAGAAAAACATAGCTACAAATGAAGCTGTTTAAGAGGGCAAAATCTTTAAACAATAAGATATGGATAAGGTATAATTTTATAAGGTATGACTGAGTGTTGGTACGCATAAATAAATAAAAAATCAGTGTGATACAACTGTCGTGATCATATTACTATAAAGAAATGTCTTTTTAAATAAATAAAAAATGAATTCTCGATAAGAAAACACTTTTTTTTTTTTTTGCATAATCATTCATTTGTTATTAAGTTACACATATGTATTATTATTATACTTAGAAATAATATACCAATATTAAGTGAAATCCATCAATCAATGGGGGGGTGAAGTGGATTGTTAAAGGCAATCTCTAAATGCTCTTTGATTTGATGAGCGTTTGATGCAATGTGTCATGTGACTCATACCTCCACGTCCTCCGGATGACGTCCACGATGCCGCTGTAGTTGTTGTGCTGGTCCTGCAGGCGAGCGCGCACCACCTGGTACGGGTAGGTCACTGCTACAGCAAATATTTTGGAAATGGCTGCCATGGTGATGTATTCCAATGGAGACTGAAGCAGAGACAGACGGGACGGAGAGACTGACTCACATCCATGAAACAAGATCATTACTGCCTCCAGTACACAAAAAACACTCTTTCTAAAGGTTACAATATACAGTCAAATGCCACAAAATCACACGGGTCATTCTTTGTATTGGCACTTTTCCACTGCATGGTATGGCATGGTACGGTTCACTTTTGGGGGGTTTTCCACTGGGTACGGTACCTGGTACTTTTTTAGTACCACCTCGGTTGAGGTTCCAAGTTTTTTTTTTTTTTGGGTTGAGGTTGCAAGTGAACCGTACCGTTACCAAAACGTGCTGTGGGTACCTGGTACTTTTTTAGTACCCCCTCGGTTGAGGTTCCAAGTTTTTTTTTTTTTTGGGTTGAGGTTCCAAGTTTTTTTTTTTTTGGGGTTGAGGTTCCAAGTGAGCCGTACCGTTACCAAAACGTGACGTGTAAGCTCTGCTGATCACTGATTGGCCGGA